GTTAATATTACATATGCCATCTCAAAAGTCATCATGTAGAGGATAATTTTTCTAGTTTTTTTAATAAGGTCTTGCTGATCAGCCCTGAATTACAACTCATAACATAAATGGGCAGAAATAACCTAACTTGGTATCCAAATGGCAGCCACTTTTAAAGTAGCTGTTGGATCACATCTTTCCAATTAAAGCTTTTCTGTGGAAAAGCCTTTTGCAGCTCTAACAATAGCCATGGACTTTAATGCTGATAGCTGTAATGTTCTCTTTATGGACAAAAAAGAGGCTTAGTTTTAGTTCTCAAATATTTGTGATTTTTTTTTTTTAAGACACAAAATATTTGTTACTGATCCAGTTTATTCTTTTCCCCTGAGTATCTTCAAATTCCAGCTCCAAACTATCTGTGGGTTATAATTTCCCCTTAGTAATGCACTTTCTTTATTTGCAATTCATCCATAATTTGAAATGGATAGCCTCCCCCCTGAAATTGTAGCAAATCCCGCCTATATTATAAATTCTATTGCAGAAAAAGATGAGCACACATGTTTTTCCAGGTCTTAAAACAAATTTCTACTTTTAATAAATCAAATCTGATTAGAAAAATATACATCAGTTCACTTCAAGAAGTTCGTTTCCCCGCACTGTTTTAAAACTTAATATTGCTTAACTTGAAAGCAGATGCATAAACTTCCACTGAATTTAATGGTACTTGCTTAAATGTTTCAATTAATCTGGATGTAAGTAATCTATTTAAGCAGGGAAGACAGATACAGGAGAAAGTTTTAAGCCAAACCCATTGACATGCTTTGAAATGTGGGTTTTTTAGGTTACATTCGTAATACAAGCAGCATCTCGCCCCGCGGTTACTCATCCAGTTCCACGCCCCAGCAGTCCAACTACAGCACTTCCAGCAATAGCATGAATGGCTACAGCAACGTCCCCATGTCAAACCTGGGCGTCCCCGGCTCACCTGGATTCATTAACGGCTCTCCAACAGGATCCCCCTATGGCCGTATGTCCTTTGCTTCTTTGTATTTGATTCTTGCTCCTGCTTAATTTAATTTACCACATCAAAAAACGCAGCAAGTGAAGTCTTTCAAGAGAAGTTCTCAAGATCTAGTGAAGATTTCTGTGAAAGGTTCTGATTTGTGTTCTGGTATTTTTTTAGTATGAACTAGAAAATGTTCCCATTTGTCAAGAAGAACAGAGGAACATGGAGTCCTACATATGTTTCCTTCATTTCCTGGAACGCTGCCATTGATGGCTATGTGCTCTTCAGGAAAGACAGGCCTATGAGACGAGGTGGTGGAGTTGCTCTTTATGTAAAAGAGCAACTGGAATGTATAGAACTCTACCTGGGAGCGGATGAAGAACAAGTTGAAAGTTTATGGGTGAAAATTAAGGGGCAGGCCAGGGGGGTTGGACTAGATGATCTCCTGAGGTCCCTTCCAACCCTTACGATTCTGTGATTCTGTGATTTTTTATCCTTATACAGATTCCTAAGTGGCAAAGGGCACAATGAGAAGTGAGGTAAAACTTACAACTTTAGGTGATCAAGCAAGTAGCCATCACTTTTAGCATAGAGACTACTCTGAATCCTATCTGAAAGCCACTCTAAAGTAATGTTTGTGTTATGACCTGCATTAACACTAACTGAGAACTGTGGATTAATTTCCTGTGGCACTGTACTACCTTGTTAACCAGAAGTATAACAATGATGGAATTAGGTTCTGGAGGTTAGTACTGTTGTACTCTGCTTTAGCCTGACTGTGAACAGCCAAGTCCCGGTGAGAACGAGATCTTTGAGAAGGAAAATGAGTAATTGGAAGGCAGACATTTTAAGCAGTTTTACCAAACTTCTGTAATTGCGTTCCTGATGAGGTTTCACTTTTTTCTTTTGCAGTAATGTCTTCAAGTCCAACAGTTGGCTCCTCCAGCACTTCTTCCATCCTTCCATTCTCCTCTTCCGTCTTTCCTGCTGTCAAACAGAAGAGTGCCTTTGCTCCTGTCATCAGACCCCAGGGGTCTCCTTCTCCTGCCTGCTCTAGTGGCAATGGAAATGGGTTTAGAGGTAAGAGATGTACAATTAATATTCAGCCTGCCCAGGTAAAGCATACTGTCTCAGTCTAGGGAAACACAGTAATCATCTGAACACCGTTACACTGATATTACAGGAGTCAGTAGTGAAAATCTGACCCAATCCGACTGGATTAAAGCAATGCTCCAAGCTTTGTCTGTTTGGTTTTAAAACAACAGGGGACAGACACTCACTTATACCAGGAAGGATTTGACCCACGCTGCATTTCAGTACCAGCTCTTTTGTGAGGAATGACTTCTCCTTAGGCTTCAGGGACTTGTAAAGCAAATGTCCGCCCTGCCGAGTTAATACACAGCTCTGTACATAACAGCCAGTGTCTTGAAACCTGCTGCAAGGTTTAGGCTCATACTGGGAATTGAGCCCTACAGTACATTTACAGCCTTTTTAAAGGTGATCTGCAAAACAAATGTGAGTATTAAGATAAGAATGGAAACCTGTACTAAATTCTTTCTTTTAATAGGCTGGGGGGGGGCGTGCGGCACATAAATACGCTCCAAGTCTCCATAAAAAAAACCTTTATAGGGCCTGAGAAGTCATCTGGCTCCTTCAGACTTCACCAGAGATACCATAGAAAACACAACTCTGGGAATTCGGCCATGCCAAGAGCCAGTGGTAATTCTGAAATGAGCCCTACAAACCGCACCTGTTGATTTGGGTGCATCATAAATCCTTAGCTAGGCCACAGGGACTAACATAAACTGCGATTATTTTATATAATAAGGAAATTCTAAGTGTGTTGAACAAAAACAATTACATTTTTAAAAGCTAACTTATAGAATTCTGCTATATATCTGAAACGGCTTCTTCCCCTGCCCCAATTACATGAAACTCTGTGCTTCTCCAAGATCATCGTCTCCCCATTAATGAAGGACATTGGCCTACCCATGTAAGGCACAGGCATCGTGGTGACAGGGAATATCATTGCTTTTCTGCTCTGTTTAAAGAAGATCAAAAGGAGGATTTGAAGTAATTTTTTAAACTATAGGTATAGAAAGTTTTGTTGGCCCAAAAGTTGTAGGTATTTATCTGAACTGTTTAGAAATGGGTTTATTTTTGTTAATGTTTTCTATGAACATGGTGTCTAAAGAGTCACCGTCACTACCTGGCCTACCCTTAACGTTTTTCCTCCCTTTTTTCAGGGGGCGGGGGGATGTTCTTTGGATCAGCTAATGAAGGAATGTATTAATTTTACTGCATTTTTATAAAAAATGAGAGGGTTTAGCTGTTTTAAGGAACTGTTCCAAGGTAATGTAATTTTAAACTGATTAGTTAAACATTTAACTAGGCAGGCCTAGCAACTTAAGAACAGTTTCTTGTTTAGCTTAAGCCAGTTGGACAGTGCTATAATCTAAAAACAAATCAGTGCATTCAGAATGGATTTAAGTCTCCTTTAAAGTTAAACTTGTCTAACTGCTATGTTGAGAAGGCCTAATTGTTAATAAGTAAGTTACCTTATTATTAACTTATTATTTATTATTACTATTAATAAGTGCTAATCACAAATCGCTTCAGTGAGAAAATCACTCAGATTGTTTCTGGGAGACAGAAAAAGGGCAGATTAAAAAAACACTGACTTTTTAAGTTAATATTTTTCCTTAACCTACCGTGTCTGTCCTGACTGCTTAGCGAGAGTTTCTCTCTTTTTTAACCCTTTTGTGAAGTACTAGAGACCATTTGGTGCCATTCATGCAATTTAGTGTTTACAACATATTTTATCCAATCTATAAATTACTAATCAATAAGAGATTCTAAAAATGGAATTTTAATATTGAAAGTGTAACATAAAATCTCAAAGCTAAAACCCCAGTCCTCACCTCCATGCATTTTTACTGACAAAAGTCCGCTCCCGAGGTGTTCAGGATTAATCTATCAGTTTAGGTTATGATTTCTTCACTGAAAGGGTTGTCAGGCTCTGGAATGGGCTGCCCAGGGAGGTGGTAGAGTCCCCATCCTTGGAGGTATTTAAAAGAAGGATAGATGAGGTGCTTAGGGATATGGTTTAGTGGTGGGATGGCAGGGTTAGGTTAACGGTTGGACTCGATGATCTTAAAGGTCTTTTCCAACCAAAGCGATTCTATGATTCTATGATTACTGACTTAGCTTATGCACATAGAGATGCAGAGACTTGGGCACGGACAAACTGAGACAAAAGCTCTTAACCATACCCCTTTCTTTGTGGGATATCTCCTTGCACATCAACACCCCGATACATAAATACAGTACCACGCTACAACTGTTATTTAAACCAGTTTTCAGCAGATACAGTACCTAGTACAACGGGACTTGTCAGTCAGACTGCCACAACAGACGCGACTCACAGCAAAGGCGGTAGCTGCTTCGCAGGGTCGAACACGTCTGCCCGAGGTTTGTTATGCCAGGGCTTTGTAACTGTTTAACCATTTCGGCCATAGATGCAAATTCGTCTTTCCAACTGAAATATTTAAATTGATGCAAGCTGGGGAGCACATGCTTTGGAAGGGATCCAGATACACACAGCCTGATATCCAAATTAACGTTCCCACAGTGCTGACAGACAGATGTGGCCAGAAAGTCAACAGGAGGGTCCCAGAGAGGCTTCTTGAATGGACTTACCATGCTGCAGCAATGGGAGATTGTTAATCTCCTCCGCTCTGCCATCCCCCTGTATGATAAACTAGGAATAGATGTGCTGGTGATGTTATTTATTTACTTATTTATCAAACTTAGGCATCGGCAAATACTGATGGAGATAGAATAGCAAAAGCACAGAGCAAGCAGTAAGAAGTAAGCAGGCATCAAGGGCATCAGGCAAGTGTTTTGACATTTCCCCACCCATAATGTGGGGAAAACATCTCCCCAACAGGGATTTTTGGGGCTTTAATGTAATGTTTGCAACGTACTTTGGCTACACCTTTTCTTCAAAGGCAAAAGCGTCCTGCTGATACAGTCTCCATCCTACATCCTGTTGCAATGAGAACATTAGCAATACTACCAGCACCCCGGGGCACGCCACTCCACTGACAAGCAGCAATGAAAATCTAGAATACAGCTTCCATGTATGTTAACCACAGCAGTGTTTAAGCCTGGATTAAAACTAGTCTAAACAGAAGGAGCTGTACAAGCTTCACCCTCAGATCACCGTTCCCATTACTCCAGGCAGTTTACAGGCCCGCTGGAAGTTGTTTTCCAAAAATGGATCTTAGGGGGAGAGTCTTAGCGATGCTTGAAAGCTGCTGGAGACAGTAGGGCAGCTGGTAGAAAATAGATCGTAACTCAACAGCATTAGCTAAGCATGAAACTTGCATTCCACTAGCTTTGGGCTGCACAACACAGCCAAGACACGTGAATACCCTCAGATAACCCCCTGTGCCATGTGTTCTTGCTTACCTCTTTCACCTGCCATCTGCTATACATTCTTACAGTGTAACAGGACATGATAGGTAGAGAACAAGCAGCAATCCATACTGGACACCACTCACTTCTATACGCGCTCCAAATTGAGAGCAGGTGATCCCGATCAGAACAATTGTGTGCTCCATTCATGTCATATGTCAAGGCAGTTTAAAAAAGGCACTGGAAAGATATAATGTGACATGACGCAACATGGCATGATAAGTACACAAATGCCTAATCAACTCATCTCAGATGGAAGGCAGCTAATGGGAAAAGCAAGCAAATTGGAAACTGCTGGAACAGCATGGACCGCTGACTGCCCAGATTACCTTTGGCCAGCTCAGCACATCTCAACACAAAAATGCAAGCTCAGTTACAAGGAATAGCAGGCAAGCCCCAGAAGGTCAGATGTTCCATTAACCATCAGGATCCTAGCCAATCTAAAAGGTACTGAAGTCTGATACCCTTAGGAACAGCCTCAATTTAGCAAAGGGGACATCTGCACTATTCCCTAAAGAAATACAGGTATTTATTTGAGTTGAAGACCCTAATTATTAGTATCTTGTCTTGACAAAGTTAGGGATGTCAACAGCACTGGGGATTCCAGTCCCCTTGCGTTAAAGGGCTGTGCAAACAGGTAATGAGAAAAATAGTTGCTCTGAAAAGTTTGTAAGGGCTGGGCTTCAGATGAAACGGCTGGCTCGCGTTTACGGAGCGGCGGCTCCTGCTTGTTACCAGTCCAGTGCCTGACCTGCTGTTCCGCGTCGCAGCCTAGCTCCAGTCAACACTTGAGACACAGCATTTTCAAACAACCCTTAACATAGATTCTAACCAGGTAAAAATAACTGGGCCACTTCCACGCTAGGAGTGTTCAGCAATATGCTTCTGCCTCAATCAGAATTATTCCAGAGTCTAGACAGCGAGTTAAGTGTGCCAAAGGCTGCAAACGATATATACATGATGTCAATATATATGAAAAATATGTATCTGTCATCTGGTTTCATCTGAAATATTGGAAGGCTCAAGTACATTTTTCTCCCCACGTTTACTGGCAGAGATGTAAGCAGCACAGACTGCTTCAAAATAAAGAAAAACCTTAAGAGTTATTTAAAACTTCTTGCTAACACTTAACTAAACAAAAATATCTCCTTGTTACTATTAATTACTTCTCTTTCATTTGATGGGATGTTAATTTTAGTAGCTCATCATACGTCACAGATATAGTCAGGCTAGACAGCTTCTCCATTTTTAATGGGAGAAAACAAAAATCTGCCTTTTTTAATAGAGTAAAATATTCAAGACTGTTAGGTGTGACATAGAAAAAGAGGATATTGGGTAAGAGTCAATATTGACTCCTCCTCTGCAGGTGAAAACTCAGCCACTTTCCAGTGTAACTGGAAAAATACATCACTGCAGAGTGGCGAGACAGCCCTGTGCTCTTTAATCATTGAACTAATGCATTTATGACTTTGCAGACACATATTTTGATTTTAAGGGTGTTCCTAATTAACTTGAACTAAATCAAAATAATTGTTCCAGCAGCCTTTTGTGCATATACAGCTTAGCGCCATGGTGAGACAGTAACTACATCAATGCAGCTCAGTAGCTGAGCCCAAATTAACTTCTCGATCTCGTAGCTATCAATGTTTTTTTAAAAGCATGTTTTATAAAATATGCTTTAACCTGCTTATCATCTAAAAGAGACAAACCCACTGCTTATTTATAAATATCTCACCTGTCTGTGGTTAGATGATCACGAGTGGATGAGTGAAAATCTTCCATCCAAATACAGAAGGATTTCTGAAAAAAAAAAAAAAAAAGTTAATTAACTACGGAGGAAAAAATAAATTCTTTAGGAAAAACTTGAAGCTTTTGGCTACTTTTTAGTGTCTTGGAACCATCCTTCATGGGTTTTTCACAGAAGCTGTAATTTAGTTCACTTACCTACATTCTAGTGTAAAGGAGGATGGTGCTCTTCTTCCAAGCCACGGATGTTTTCTGCTAAATGAAAGCCAGCTGTGTTTTCCTCCAAAAAGCCTTTCTTTCCGCTATCATTTTCAGTTGATTAGTTACATAATAATAAATTATAGGTAATAAAGGGGTGCGTTGTTTCACAAACGTCTCCGTGGTCTTAATATGGAAGGTAAAACTGCACGTTTGCTAGCGGTAGTCATGGTGGGAGTCGGAGATATCAGTCAGGTGAGGCCCCTTTTCTCAGCCCCAGTTACTCAGACGCTAGCCCTGCTGCCCACAGCCTTGCCAACCTGCCTTTGTGTCGCGACAGCTCACGCACAGAGACGTTTCCAGCCTTGCAGGGCAGGCACATTCATTTCAGATGCTCGGAGCAGCACCGCTGGAGCACTGGAGAGGTTTAAGATTGGAGGTTGCTGGCAACTTAGGGGCAAAAGAAGAAAAATCAAATGAGAGAGAGCGCGAGACATTTTGCACGTCGCTGATGGAAAATGCTCAACACCCCTCTCCTCTAGAAGGCACGGTTTTTAAACCAGGTCATAATTTACACCCCGACAAAAGCACCCGAAGCAGCAGAGCAGTGTGTGCGCACACACGTGTACATTTGTAGGGCACCAAGCCCCTTTCAGTTCCTGCCAAATGGCCGTTTGAATCGCAGAGGGTTCTTTTCCACTACAAAGCAAGACAGGCATTTTCAGGGGCCACTTGTATACACTAGGCTTATGATCATTATTAATTACACCCATTAAAGGTGCCTATCACCATAGCATCTGGGTACTATCCATGTTTGATTATTTATTTATTAAAAAATTCTCCAACCTTGTGACAATTTTAATCAAGTGTTTCAGTTGATAATTGCAAGCTGTCAAGGTTAATACAATAAGGCTCATCTCTAATTCTTTTTCCATTTCCCTCCAAGAAAAAAAAAAGACCCTCTGGGATAATGACTGTGGTTTCTATATTCCCAACTCATCAGGGAGTGTCCTGCATTGAACCACCTTTATTGAAAAGTTACATCGATTCAATATATAGTAATACAGGCAAAAATAATTACAGCTTTGCTAGCAGTGTAAGACCTTAATCCAAACCTCACAAACATTCAATAAAAAGCGATACGGGCTGGGAATAGGCTTTTGACAGTGCAGCCCCAAAGGGGAGTGGAGGTGGGGTGGAAATGGACGGACGAGGGTGTGTGAAAAGAGAGAGAACCACAGAGCAAAGCCATTTAGATGAGCTGTGGGAACCAGGTGAGAATGCCAGCCAGGATTCCTCACCTGACTTGTTTTTTGCTGCGGGAGGCGGTGAAGGTGCAACATTAGGCTGAAAGAATTAGGCTTTGCTTGTCCTTTCTATGGTATTTTGTAGTTTTACCTGAATTTGTCCACTGGCGGGTTCCATCCTAACAACTTCCGAGGAGCATCTCTGCTCTGGAGCACTTCTACAACAGACTCGGGCTGCGGGGGGGCAAAAGTAAGGAGGGGAAAGCAGGGCCTGGCTACCTGCGCAGGAGGGAAGGCAAGGGGGCAGAAGGGGGGGGGTCACCAGCACCCCGGGTAATGCCACACTCCTCCCGATTGCAGATTTTGCCGTTGCCATCAGCCATTTGAATCCAGGACTGCTGGATAACATAATACCTTTAATTATAGAGTAAAAATGTACTTTCCCTTCAATTTAAGGAACTTTCCAAAATGCTGCATCTACAAGTATTCTTAAAATATTTTTGACGAGCCATGGCAGAAACTCGGGCCTGGTCTTTGCTTTGATCTGCTGGAAGAAGATTTCCTTGATTAAAAAACCAAAAATAACATTGATGACAATAGTATCAGAAAAAAAGCCTTTATGCCACTATGGCCTAGCCCCCTTGGGAACAGAGTTCAAACGGCGCTGGCAACAGACCCCGCCTGGCTCAGATTAAACCCCACCACATAGAATCATAGAATCATAGAATCATAGAATGTTTAGGGTTGGAAGGGACCACTAGTGGTCATCTAGTCCAACCCCCCTGCAGTGAGCAGGGACACTGCTAAGGGGGGCCCCGGCCGCGCGAGCGCTCCTTTATTTGCTTCAGGCGAAAGACCCAGCCGGGTTACCGTGGACAAACAGTTTAAATTCTTTGAGCTAACCTGGATGATTTTTGCCTGCAGCAGATTGGGAAGTGCTCACGCAGACGGCTCCGCTGGGATACCTGCGGGATGGCGGTGAGCAGCTGAGGGCACACGCTTCCCTCTTCTGCCAGCCCGGCAGGATCGAGAGGAGGGCAGCAGTCCAGGGCTGAAAGCAAGTTTGCTTTTCTAGAGGACAGAAAGGCCGGCACGCGGTTCATGCATAGGGAGAAGGCTCTCCAGGGTCAGGCTGGGACGCTACCGTTAGGATCATTTTTGGGGTTTGGGGGTGAGGAGAAGGAAAGGAGCAGCTGCCTCAGTGTTATCAGAAAATCTCCCTTCTTCTTCTAATGCACCCCTCCTCCCCTTCCCCCCACCAAAAAAATAATTATCTGCTATATTTAGGGTTATGTAAATTGCCTGTTTGAAAAATAATAGCACATTCCTAAGCAATTAAAAAAAGTAGATATTTGACTTAAGAGCGTTTGGTTTCACTTTCTCTTTCAGCTATCTGCCAAAATTGGCAGGGACGCCTAGCCCCAGTCAGTTACAAAATATGAAAATATTTATTTTCTGATTGTATTAAGTCATAGACCATATCCACAGTTGTTTAAAATCAACACAGCTCCAATAAAAGAGTCATGTTAGCTGAGGATCTTGCCCTAAGCATTTTTTTTTTTTTTTTAAACACTATGAACATAAGGGTGAAATTAATTCTCAGAGGACAGGGCTTTAAACACATGAATAATCCCACAAATTTCAGTGACCATAAATCTTTGCAGGATTAGGGCCTCGCACTGCACTGAGGCCCCTTTGAAAATATGACTCACTCATTTGTTATATAAATACGTATAAACTTAACTTACCCCTCAAAACCTTTGGGAACAGCACCAGTTCCAGGCAGCTTCAAATGTTGCTGTTGTCAGTTATGAAGAATATAACTGCAATTAAAGGCAGTGAGAGTGACTAATAAATAATTTACATAAGCCCAGTGTTCTGGGAATGTGCCAGGTAAGACTACGGTGATTCAGACATATGGGGTAAACCAAGCGAGAAAGAGAGGCCGGTCCATTATTTCCATTGAAACTAAATTAGCGAACCCTAGCTCTGGGCATTGTCCAATGAGTCGGGACTTGTAATTCTTGGTGCTAGGTCCCGTAAGCGGCGCACGGGCAAATTCCATTTTGCTTTCACGTCTTTCCTCACTCACAACATAACCCTTGCTCAAGCAACTGAGCGGGCTGAGTGGGAAGCGGAAGACCCTGCTCGATTCTGGTTTTCAAGACTGATTTTGAGGGTTTGACTTGAGAAAGCTTGAGAAGTCTGAGCTTTTGGGGGCAGTTCTGAGCAATGTGCACCTCCGAGGACATCCCTGAGGAGCTAAGCACCTAAAAGTGGTTAGGTGTTTCTGAAAAGTCCCACACTGAGCCTTGAATTGATCCTCTGTCTCCTTTATCCCTTTAAGAACCACCGTGGACCTTGGCTTTCGGTGAATTTGTTATGAAATAGCTCAGTGTCCGCTGGCTGTGGTCACTGTTAGTTCTCACTAAAGCACAAAGACGTGAAAAGGAGCTGAGGGTCTGGTTTTGCCTGCAGATAGGGCCAGTGCCGCAGTACGCGACGGCACGCAGAAGGGTGAAGGGCTCAAATATATTTTGTTCCGTTAAAATTTGCCAGAATTTCATCTTTGTCAATTTTCTTTTTCAGCCATGACTGGTCTTGTCGTTCCCCCGATGTAAGGAAGAGGCAGCTTTGCTCCTCTCCCTCTTCCCTTTTTTCCTCTTTTTTTTTCATTTTTCTTTTACAGCACAAAACTACTTATTGTGATGGACCACTAAAAAGAAAAAAATAGCACTACAAGCTCTTTTTTGGGGGAAAGCCAGGCCCAGGAAAAAAAAAAAAAAAAAGGAACATTTTTTATGGATTGGACAAGATAGAAGTCTGCATCTTTTACCTGTTTCATATTTCTGACACAACCATGTCAACTCCTGAAACATTGTGAATGAAGAATCAGCCAAGAGCCAGGACGAACAACAGTTGGCAGAACGGAATCGGAAACGCAAAGTCTTTCTTGAAAGATGGGAAACCTTCCTGAGATTTGTAAAATATTAAAAGGAGGAAGAAATTGGCAAAATGATTCAAGCTTGCTATTTTGGATACAATTTGTTTTACTTTGTAGGGGAAAAAAGTTGAAGTTTCTATTTTCTATGGAGCCTTTCAGATATCGATTTAGTTTATGCAGAAAAAAATTCAACACAACAGGGTACCAGCATGAAAGAATTTCTAGGACAAACTGACATGAATGATGGAACTTTGGTGTATGTGTGTATTTGCTTATAGTTTAACCTCTTTAAAAAATGTAAGATGTTTTACAATTATTTAAATAAATAAACTTGTAACTTATTGTATGTAGAGGTAGAAATTAAACCCTTTTTTGGATTTTTTCCTCCAGTTGTACAATGAAGAAAAATGATGCAAAAATGTAGTGATAAGTTTGAGATATATTATTACTGCTGCAATTGCGCCTCACTTCTTCCCTCTTACTGAATTCATGTGCAAGGATGTATAGGATTCCTTCTGATTAACAAAACCATCAGACGCTTTTAGATACGTTGTGGTATACAGGCCAGTGATTCATGTACGAATCTTCATCCACCTCATCCTTCCCCCTTCCATTTTTTTGTTTCAATTAAAATATTCAGGTACTAGGATTAACTGGTAAGT